GAACTTCAGGTGGTGATATTCAAGTTCACTTGAAATGAATAATTTTTTCCATTTGAATTATATTGAATAACATTTATAGATGTAGACATATTTTTATAGGTTTTTTAACCGGGAATGGGGAAGATGATTAGTATTGGGCAGCCTAATAATGTCAATTATTGATATGACAGAAATGTACTTAATTCATGCAGTAGATATATATGTATATTTTTCTGTCGAACCACGAATACGGTATGATTTTGTAAAAAATAGGGAAAATAATCAGAAAGGCAGGACGGCAGCAGGGGTGGATTGGTTCATTGGCCGAATCGGAAGGTTGAAGGAGGAAGACCAGAGTCCTATCAAATTTGAAGGGGAACAAAATGTTTATTATGTAATATCTACATCACGTGTATAGGTTTGCAGGAAGCCTCAGAAGATAAAATGAAGAAAAAAAAGTATCTTTCTTTGGGAAAATTTATGGACCCAGCTGTTTGGTTTGTAACAGATGCATACGACGCCAACGTCCAGACTGCTGCCTCAGCCTGAAGCTCCAATTCTACTTTATTCAAGCATCTTTCACTCAACCCAAAAAAAAAAAAAATTAGAGAAAGAAGAAAAGAAAGGACGTGGCAAAATAAGCTAGAAATATACGTTTATGTTAGAGGTGGGAATTGGATTAGATCTATGGATTTAGGGGTCGTTTGGAGAATAGGGTTGAGGACGTGAATTTACTGAATCCGTAGATTTTATAGAAAGTTATGTTTTTTTTTTGTTGCTTTTTGCCTTGTGGATTCTAGATTTAAAGATTTCAAATCTCTAAAATCTGCAGATATCAAATCTCTAATAATTAGAGAGATTCTATATCTTGATTTGAGATTTTTTTCTCCTAGTTTTTCTCTTCTTTTTATTTATTTATCACATGAAATATATTTATCAACAAATTTTTTAATATTTCTTGAACCACTCTAATTTTTTTTATTAAGGATAAACATGTTATTTAATATAATATTAATTTTTTATTTTTATTGAATGTTAACAATCACAGTTACCAAACAATAAACATTTTAAAATCTGTTTTCAACAATCCGAAGAGTTAGAATCTTTAGATTGTTGACAATCGGTAGATTTAAACTCATATTCTCCAAACGACCCCTTAGTAGATTTATGGATTGGTGGATTGATCTATGAGTCCAAAATTCAAATGACATCCAAGTTTTTGACCAATATATAAATTTTCAAAAGTTTGGGTACCGAAATATCTTAATAAAAAATTTTAACTATCAAAACATAATTTTCTATTGATACTATTTTTAGTATAAAAATAGTTTTTAGTTATCAAACTATAAAATATAAAAAGTATAGGTACTGAACTGTAATTTCCATTTAGATCCATGAATCAATCCATGAATCTAACTAAATTTGGATCAAATGAATTGAATTGGTTGAATGTTTCGGTGCATAGATTGAATTGAATTGAATTAGTAGATTGAAAATTGTCACCTCCAGTTTCTGCTATTGAACACCGGGAAGAGCCTGAAATAGAGGTGGGTAAAGGTTCCATGTTATTCTCTTAATTTTATGCAATCATAATTTCAGTAGGGCTTTGTTGGGAAAGAAACTAGATTATGCCTCTTCGAGTTCGAGGCTGCATACACATAAAACTACATTGGTAACTAAAGCTAAGTATATATCTTTGCTTTGCTTAATAATTAATTAAGGAGGGGTATAGAGACAGCGAGACAGTGAAGGAATTCCCTTGGAGTTTGTCTTAATCGATGATTGCACATGTATGGAATTTTGTTGGCCATGAGCCCAAGATAATACATAAATAAAACCCTAGGAGGCTATTGATAAAAGAAGACAAAGAGGGGAAAACAATACTCAATGATTCAATCAATATCATTCCTCACACACCAACAACCAGAGCTTTTGTAATCAAATGGTTCAAATCTTAAACAAATATAATACGTTATGCCACTTTGGCTGATTGTAGTTCTAATGTCTATCATGGATGTAAAGGAGCTGAGTGTGTCTTAGCTTTTGGTATTCATTGTTAGGTATGATTTTCTATTATAGTTGTCATCATTGTGAGAATTATTTTGAAAGAGCTCTTGAGTGTGTCTTTCCTCACGGTTCTATTATTAGGTAGAATTTTCGATATAGTTTGTGTTTATTGTGAGACTTATTTATTTTTCATCAAGCCTTTATTATTGGTTATGACTACTAATATGCATATGACTACTAATATGTAAACGACACATGTTAGGGTCCTAGTTCACTATTTATCTTGACGTAGGATTCTCGATAGTTAATTATGTTTCACGCACCTGAATCTAGGCACAATTTTTTTTCTCATGCAGCACTCCCTGTTAATTAAATTAGTGACAAAGGGAGGTGGAGAGCAGTGGTGTCTGAGATCCTACTTTGAAAAATGAAATTATTATTTGTACATAAATACTTACTTTTTCGCCATAAATAGTGTAATAATAACTAAAGACCATAGAGTTAGAACCCCATGGGTAGAATACTCAACTTTTCTCATCATAATACAAGCGAATAAATGAAATTATACCTACATCATATCACTAGTCATAATATGACAATGACAGTGATATGATGATCCATCACCTTGATTTTAACTCAACATTTAGAAAATTTGTATAGAAAGAGCGCAATAACTAAGAACTACGTAATTATATCAGTTTTGTTATATTTTTTCAAACATAAGACATCATACCAATATCATATCGGTGTCATACCAACATCATATCAGTGTCATATTATACCATACTGATAATGTCATGATATGAATTTGAAATGATGTCATGAAATTATATTGATCAATATAAGACCTCGAACAAACATCATATCACTATCATATCGATGTCATATAATATTGTGTCACTATCATATCAACATTATACCGGTATTATATCATACAATTGTTACTGATAATATTGTGATATGATAGTTGTAAGATGGTCTAAAAAATTTTGCTCCAAAAAATACCAAAATGGATATAATCTTGTAGAGTACAAAATGGGTCGATTTTTCTGTGAAATTTCTTTTTGAAATTCAATATATAATAAATAAGCTAAGGTCCGTCTAATTTTTGTATGAGATTTGAAAAATGCTTTAATAGTCGCTTAAGAATACGCGTCGGCTCATCCAAAATCCGGTCACATCTAGCTACCTAAATCTCTTATTTTCCTTCTTACCCTTTTTATGATATGAACGGTTAGATCTTCTCTTCCCAAATTACAACCATTAGATTGTATTTTGTAAGACTACAAAACTCAAAGGTTTTTTTTTACAGTAACTGCACTAAAAAGAATCATAAAACTTTATTTTTATTATATCAAGAATACTTACATGAAAAAGAAGAAAATATTGATATGGCTAATGTTGTGAAAACTATGTGAAGGGTGGAAACTCTCACTAATCTTAATCACGTTAGAGTAAAATACTCAAGTCGATATGCACTACATACAAATGCAATCGCTTCTAAAAGTTATTGTTAAAACGGATCGAGATAATTGACAATACAAGAAAGTGAAAAACACACACCATTTTATGTGGTTTATTAGCACAATATGTATTAACTAGTTCAGGAACAAGAGAGAGCTAGTTTCACTATACTTTGAAGGAATACAGATTATAAAAAGATATAAGAAGTATGTATAGTACTTCTCCAAATAGTCTAACCCAAATCCAATGTAGAAACAACTATATCAATGTATATGAAGTAACAATCTAAACCTCAGAATCGAAACAAGAATCAAAGCAGTGGTCCGTGATCATGAGGATAGGAGTGGTGATGAGAGCAAAGAGAGGAGACGTATGTTGATTGATCATCTCTCCAACCCCACACACAAACTCAACGCATTACACATTGCACAACACCCTCGGAAAACTGACAAACTCTTACCCAAGTCCTGAATATATAGACAAAAATTCCCTGCCTGCCAGCCCTCCCTCTTTCCTTCACATGCCCACCAAATTCCAACTGTAATCCCCGAGACCAGTTGCAGCAGAACAGCAGCAGCAGCAGCAGCTAATCCCACCACTCACTATACCTATACAATCTCTCCTCCTTTTACTTTGATCACTCCTTTTCACTCACTCCGCCTCTGATCTTTCTCTGTCTGGCTATGTGAAAAACTTAAAAGCTTCCTTCATATCTTGTGCTGCTACCTCTTTCTCTTTCGACCAACCTGAAACAGTAGAGCCCAGTACACAAGGAGAAAGTTCTGCAGCAAAAGGTGAGATCCGATTTCGTAAGACACATCCCCTTTTTAGTTGAGACCCAGAATAAAAGCTTCCATCTTTCCTCTACACACATACATATAGGTGGTGTGGACACCCCTCCCCACCAGTCCCCACTTACCTAGCTACATAGCTCTTCTTGTCTCCTGTTCTCAAGCCTAGAAACAGATTCTGAGCCCTTTTCCATGATCTCTCCCTTTTTTTGGGTCCTAGCCTCTTCAGTCTCTTTTCCCCCAATTTGACTTCCAACCATTTTTGTTTGCTTACTGTTGATCCGTCCTTTTCCCTTGCCTGCAAAAAAGCTGCTGCCGGGGAGTATGAAACTGAGCTGTCAAACTTTTCCACTCTTACCACATCCTACTCGCAGAAGCAGGAGCTAGATTACATAGCAGGAGCAGAGCCAAAATCCTTCCTTCTTTGCTTTGCTTTGCTTCATATAACCAAGCACCCACGTAAGTATAAGCACAAATGGGTCGTTTCCCAATGCCTCTCCCTTCAAAAGTTACACTAGTAAGGTCCTTTTCTGGCTAGCTGCACCTTCTGCTGATTCCTGATCTCTTGATATCCCTTTTGCATCCTCCCCCTAACTCTGTCTCTTTCTTTCCCCACTTATCACTTCCTAAATTTGGTCTCTTCTTCTACTCTCCCTCCTTCTCCCAATGATGCAATTCACTGAAACCCTACCCCTCGTTCCCCAACCGCCTCTGCACCACCACCACCACCACCACCAAATCCCTGCCGCAGCCGCGGCCATGATCAACAACAGCAACAGCAGCAACAGCAGCAACAGCAACAGCGACCCAGTAAGGGCCGGGCTGCCAGCACGGCCATGGCCAGGGCTACTCCCGACATCCAAATCATTCGGCAACTTCGGGGATGCAAACTGCATGGAGCAGCTGCTAGTCCACTGCGCCAACGCGATCCAGAGCAACGACGCCACTCTGGCCCAGCAGATCCTCTGGGTGCTCAACAACATCGCCCCTCCAGACGGCGACTCCAACCAGCGCCTCACTTGCGCATTTCTTCGAGCACTTGTCGCGCGTGCCGCCAAGACGGGAACCTGCAAGATCCTCGCCACCACCGCGGCCCGCTACTGCTACAACAACAACCTCCTCCCGCTCTCCACCCACCGCTTCTCCGCCATCGAGCTCGCCACTTTCGTCGATCTCACCCCCTGGCACCGATTCGGCTTCACCGCCGCCAACGCCGCCATCCTCGATTCCATCGAAGGCTACTCCTCTGTTCACCTCGTCGACCTCACCTCCACGCACTGCATGCAGATCCCCACCTTAATCGACGCCGTCGCCTCCCGCTTCGAATCCCCTCCGTTGATCAAGCTCACCGTCGCCGCGCCCACCGACAGCAGCCTGCGCCCGCCCGTACTGGATCTCTCCTACGAGGAGCTGGGTTCAAAATTGGTCAACTTCGCCAGGTCGCGGAACGTCGCCATGGAATTCCGCGTGATCCCTTCCACCCACTCCGACGGATTCTCCACCCTCATCGACCACCTCCGAATCCACCACCTCCTCTACCCGGAAGCGACGCCGCCCGCCGCCGAGGCGCTGGTGATTAACTGCCACATGATGCTGCACTACATCGAGGACGAATCGACGGCGACCATCGCCTCGCCGTCGCCGAGGGACGCGTTCCTGAAGTCGATCCGGAGCCTGGAGCCGACGGTGGTGGTGGTGGTGGACGAGGACGTCGAGCTGACGGCGGGGAACCTGGTGTGCCGGCTGAGGTCGGCGTTCAATTACTTCTGGATCCCGTTCGACGCGGTGGACGCGTTCCTGCCGGCGGCGGGGAGCAAGCAGCGGCAGTGGTACGAGGCGGAGGTGTGCTGGCGGATCGAGAACGTGATCGCGCAGGAAGGGATGCAGAGGGTGGAGCGGGCGGAAGGGAAGGCGCGGTGGGTGCAGCGGATGCGAAACGCTGCGTTTAGGGAGGCGGCGTTTGGGGAGGATTGCGTGGCGGAGGTGAGGGGGATGCTTGGGGAGCACGCCGCCGGGTGGGGCCTGAAGAAGGAGGAAGAGGATCAGCTCGTGCTGACCTGGAAAGGCCACAATGTCGTCTTCGCTACTGCTTGGGTTCCTGCTTAATTTGACTACACTACACCAATTTCTAGGGTTTTCTTTTGGGTTAAGTTAATGTAGAATCAATTCATTTTCAGACAATTTAATCGTCCGTACCTGTATTCTTGATATGTCTCAACTTCTTTAGTTTCATCAGTTCATGTGCCTGTATAGTTTGTGCCCTGAATTCCCCCAGTGTTGAATCTTTCCTTACTGTTGGGCATGTGACTCGGATCACTCCCGCGCCAAAGAAGCACGCCAAACCGCACGCCACGACAAACACGGCGCGACACGTCCGACAGCGTCGAGACCTCGCGCGCGGCAAGAGTGAGTCTATGCGCGCGAATGGAAGACAAGGCGGCAACCAGACTCAAGAGCCGGAGAGGGCGTCATTGTGTCTCCCGAGGGAAGGTCACGTCAAGACTTTTGAGTACAAATCATGGACAACCCTCTGACAGGTCCTAGGTTAGGGGATGGCCTAAATCCCTGACACATCAGCAGTCACGTCGTTGTACCGTCTCGAAGTCCACCCACTCACCCACCACCATGTAGCCTATAAATATGGCATTTACTCTGGTGGGTGAGGGGATCGCATTTTTGCACCATTCTCTCTCCATAGCAACTACTTCTCTTTCTAAAAGTTCGAACCTTGATTCCTCACTCGACTCGTCAGTTCTTATTCCTTCAATTAAACCTGATCCTAGCGTTCCTTCTTGACCCGAACTCTCACACGAACCTCACTCCTACACTCAGTTAGGTTCAAACAATTGGCGCCCACCGTGGGGCCAAGAAGAAACGCTGAAGAAAATCCACCAATGGCAGAACACAACCACGACCAACCTGACCAAGCGACGCCGATCAAGGCAATGACTGACCCGAGGGCGTTCGCGGAAGCCAGCAACCTCAACGCCGTGCTCATAGAAGAAGAGGAGCCCGAGCTGACGGCCAAGGAAATGAGGGAGCTGTTGAGGAAACAAAACAACGTCATAGCCGACATGCAAAAACAAATGAGCCAAGTCATCACGCTCATGATGAGCAGGGAAAGCGCGCTAACGACAGGCGCGACAGCGCCCGCGTCCCAACAAGCCTTGGTGGACGCGCCTCAACAAGCCTTGGTGGACGCGCCTCAACAGGCCTTAGGAGAAACATCGGGGACAGCTCAACTCCCCCAACACACGCCAACAGAACTTCCCTCGGGTGAAGCGCCGGGGATCGATCTACCGGGGCGGACAGACCTCAGCTTCTTAGAGCAACACCTATCTCCCCAATATCGACCCATCCCGCCTAAAAGGATCCTTCACCAGCCATTGAGCGCACAAATAATGGCGGAGAACATAACCGGAGCGCCGCCCATCCTCCCGACATACAACGGCACAACGGATCCGGAAGACCATGTAAGCACCTTCTGCTTGCGTATGCAACTCCAAACCAACTCCAACGCCGCCCTGTGCAGAACCTTCCCGTCGACGTTCGCCGGCATATGCCTCGATTGGTACAACCGCCTCCCAAACGGGATCATCCGCTCGTTCGAAGAGTTCATACTCCTGTTCACCACGAAGTTCGCGTCCCAGAAACGACGCCCCCTTCACCTCAAGGCCCTGATAGATATCAGGCAAAAGGATGGAGAAAGCCTGAGGGCCTTCTACGCCAGATGGTCCAGGATTGCGATGGCTGTCCGCGACCTCACCCCCGAAACTGCCGCCCATCACCTCATGGAGGCCACCAACAATATGGAGCTTAAGCGGGCGTTGGCAAAAAGGCCCGTCACGCTGTCCACAGAATTGGAAATGAAGATCGAAAAGGCAATCACGTTGGAAGAAACCTTGGGATCAGGGTCCGTCAGGCGCTTCGAACCAACAAAAATGCCACGAGAAGAACAGGCGCGCCGCCAGGCTCCAGCTCCAGTCACCCGCGACCAACTGCTGCAGATGCACAGTGGCCCAAAGCGCGTTCCTCCTCCTCCCCCACCGGAACAGGCGCAGCGCGGTCGATCACCCGACAGGCGCGGCGCGCCCAACGCCTACACCCCCCTAAATGACTCCGTGAGGAATGTGTTTCACGTCCTTCGCGAGAAAGGCTACAAGCTCAATTGGCCTGCCCCGTTGAAATCCCAACCCCACATGCGCAACCCACATACGCATTGTGAATTCCACAGAGCAACGGGGCACCGGACGGAAGAATGCAGAGAGCTGAGGTATGAAATAGAGGGCCTCGTACGGCGAGGGTTGCTAACCGAGTTTGTTCACGTAAAGAAAGAGCAAACTGAGGCACCACTACACCCGCCGCCGCCACCACCGCAAACCGACTATGATGAAGACACAGGCGCATATGTAGTGCGCAAAGAGATCGGGGTGGTGACAGTTGAAGGAGACCGTCCCCAGAAGAAAACCAAACGTGAGCGTGCAGCAGAGTGCGCTGCCGTCAACGCGCCAACGAAGTTCAATCTGAGCTTCGACGACGCGGAGTTCCCACAAGGAGTCCCATCCGAGGAACCACTCATTATCACCGCGCTAATCGCCGCCTGCAAGACCCACCGCCTCTTGATAGATGGAGGCAGCGCGGCCGACATCCTCTTCCAGAGCACCATTGACAAAATGGACATTGACCCGCGCCTAATCAGGCGCGCGCAAGGTAACCTGGTCGGTTTCTCCGGAACCAAAGTCCCGGTAATTGGAGTGGTCACCCTCCCTGTGGTGATCGGCGACCAGGAACCACGCGTCTCCAAACAGGTAGAGTTCACAATCGTCAATTGTGAATCAGCACACAATGGCATCCTTGGCCGGCCTTTCCTTGCGAAGTTCATGGCCCTCCCGTCGACGTGCCACCAGAAGCTCAAGTTCCCGACACAGAGAGGAGTTGGAGAAGCGCGAGGGACGACATGGGAGGACCGCGTTGTGGCTCGACAAACCAACATCGTCGACACTAGGGCAGAAGAACCCCGACCGGAGTCCATGGATTCCGATTTCGAGGTTGCGCTGGATCCCGCCGAGCCAACCAGGAAAATACGCATCTCCACTCACGTCAGCAGCGACGCAATCGGGCCACTCGTGACGCTGCTGAAGGAGTACCAAGAACTGTTCGCATGGTGCGCAGAAGACATGCCAGGAGTGCCCAGAGAGGTAGCGCAACATAACCTCGCAGTCCCAGCCAATGCGGAGCCAAAGCAACAAGGGCGGAGATCCTTCACTGGCGACAAACTAAAGGCGATAGAAGAAGAGGTGGCACGCCTACTGGCAGCCGGGTTGATTCGACCCGTTAAATACCCTAAGTGGCTGGCAAACGTGGTCTTGGTCAAGAAGTCATCGGGAGCATGGCGGATGTGCGTCGATTACACCACGATAAACAAAGTGTGCCCGGGAGACCCTTATCCCCTGCCACGTATCGACCAGCTGATCGACGCAACTGCCGACCATGAGACGTTGTCTTTCCTCGACATGTTCTCCGGATATCACCAGATCCCTATGTCGGTGGAAGACGAAGAAAAGACGGCGTTCATGACACCGTTCGGGAACTTCTGCTTCGTTGGGATGCCGTTCGGATTAAAGAACGCCGGCGCGACATATCAGAGGATGATTGACACGGTTTTCGCGCAACAAATCGGGCGGAACATCGAGGCCTACGTAGATGACCTCATTGTCAAAACAAAGGCGGGCGGGTCACACCTGGAGGACCTGCGCGAGACTTTCGAAGCCCTCCGCCGGCACAGCCTCCGCCTCAACCCACTCAAGTGTGTTTTTGGAGCGGAAGCAGGAAAGTTCCTTGGGTTCATGATAACCAAGCGCGGCATTGAGGTCGATCCGAAGCAAATCACCGCGGTCCAACAGCTACGGGCGCCCCGGAACGCGTTGGAAATCCAATCTCTGAATGGCAAGATAGCGGCACTAGGGAGGTTTATACCAAGATCCGCCGACAAGTGTGCGCCTTTCTTCAGAACACTCAAGAACGGGGCACGCTTTGCATGGACGACAGAATGCGAAGCAGCGTTCCAAGAGCTAAAGGCGTATCTTGTATCCCCTCCTGTACTGACTGCCCCCAAACTTAATGAAAAACTTTTTCTGTATCTCGCTGTATCAACGAGGGCTGTGAGCGCGGTGCTGATATCTAGAAGAGATGGCAGAACCGAGCAACCGGTGTATTACACCTCGCGCACTCTAGTCAGCGCGGAAACAAGATACTCCTCGATCGAGAAGGCTGCCTTGGCACTAGTAAGCGCCTCTCAGAAGCTGCGCCCGTACTTCCAGGCGCACCATATCACCGTCCTGACAAACCTCCCACTAAAAAAGATACTAACCTCGATGGAAGTGTCGGGACGCATGGTCAAGTGGGCGGTCGAGCTGTCGGAATACGACATCCAATACGCGCCAAGACCAGCAATAAAGGCCCAAATCCTGGCGGACTTCATCGCAGAAGGGGTGACCCTCGAAACAACGCCGGAGGGCGTTTGGGAAGTCTACGTTGATGGAGCGGCAAGCAAACATGGCGCCGGAGCAGGCGTTGTGGTGCGCACACCTTCTGGCGCGGTGCACGAAATAGCAATCAGGTTCCGGACGCTGAAAACAAATAATGCCGCGGAATATGAGGCCATCTTAGCGGGAATGACGGCCGCTCATGACTTGGGAGCAAGAACGATACGGGTCCTCTCCGACTCCTCTCTGGCGGTCAACCAGCTGAATGGCGCGTTTGATGCAAAGGAAGACGCGCTGGCGCATTACATGGAGCGTGTTAAGCAGAGAGCCACAACATTCGAAGCAGTAACATATGCGCAGATACCAAGAGAAGAGAATGCCCACGCCGACGCACTATCTAAACTGGCAACAGCTACTGACTTTGAGTCCACGCGCCTCGTGTCCGTCCAAAAAGAAGAAGAGGCCTCCCTGGAGGTGGCCATCACCACAACCCAGCTTGTGCCAAACGAAGACTGGAGACACCCGATTTTGAAGTACCTTCAAGATGGGGCAATACCAGAAGACCCTAAGCAAGCTTGGACTTTAAGGCAAAAGGCGGCCCGTTGCACACTCATTGAGGGG